TTTTTTTGAGGCAGAGTCTTACTCTGTTGCCAGGCTGGAGTACAGTGGCGTGATCTAGGCTCACTGCAACCTTCACCTCCCAGGTTCAGGCAATTCTTCTGCCTCAGCCTCTGTAGTAGCTGGGACTACAGGTGTGTACCAGCACGCCCAGCTAATTTTTGTATTTTTAGAAGAGACGGGGTTTCACCATGTTGGCCAGGATGGTCTTGATCTCTCGACCTCGTGATCTGCCCACCTGGGCCTCCCAAAGTGCTGGGATTACAGGCGTGAGCCACCGTGCCTAGCCCAGGGAGTGCTTTCGTTGGAGACTGAGAAGGAATTCCTCCAATCCATGGGGTCTCCATGGCCACAGGAATCCAGTCAGGAAAGTGACTAAGCAACTTTTAGAAACACACCCTGCAGATAAAATTGTAGATGAGGTCGGTGTCCTTTGTGCAAAGATCTTCATGGGTCTATTGTTCCTGGAAAGCAAAAAATGGGAAACGACTAATTGCCCATCAACAAGGGACTGGTTATAGATTGTTCTGGAAATGCTGATAGGAGCCCGTCTCCAAATCGGGTTGGCAGGTAATAGCAAATAAAAGCACAGGACCTTCAGTTAAATTGAATTTAAAATAAAACATATGTCTCATGCAGCCTTACACACTAAAAACCTATTTGTTGGCAGGGCACGGTGGCTCATGCCTGTAATTCCAGAACTTTGGGAGGCCAAGGTGGGCAGATCACAAGGTCAACAGATCGAGACCTTCCTGGCCAATGTGGTGAAACCCCATCTACTAAAAAATACAAAAATTATCTGGGCATGGTGGCGCGTACCTGTGGTCCCGATTACTCAAAAGGCTGAGGCACAAAAAGCACTTGGGCCCAGGAGGTGGAGGTTGCAGTGGGCTGAGATGGCACCACTGCACGCCAGCCTGGTGACAGAGCAAGACTCCATCTCTAAAACAAAAACCAAAAACAAAAACCTATTGTTTATCTAAAATTCATATGTAATTGGGCATCTGTATTTTATCTGGAAACCATCAATCTCCAGGATAAGTGAGAAAAGCCAGGTGAAGTCAGGATAGGGTTGCTCTTGGTGAGGGTGTGTGTCTGTGTGTGCTGCTGAGGGGGCCATCAGTTTCAGCTCCTGTCCTGAGTGTGGTTACAGTTGAAGGGTCCGGACTGATCGGGGTCACATAACCAGAGGTTGAAGGGCTAGGCTCCACCCCAGACTCTGTGCTCTGTAGCGATTTGTATATATGTATTAAAAGTGTTAATGTTTTCAATAAAAATACAAAAACAGACCATAATTTTCTAAACTCCATTTGAACATTTCTGATTTAAAAAAATCCTGGCAGTCTCAGAAACTCTAAGGGGCCTTCCTGAACACTCTCATTTCCTGGAACACTCATCTGCCCCTGGGCTTTTTCATCATTGTCACCTGGAATGCCCTCTCATCCCCCACCCCGCTCCGCTCACCTGCTCATGCCTGTGACCTCAACCTGGAGTCAGCCTGGCTCTTACTCCTCTGAGTCACCTTAGGTGCCTTGGAGTTGCATGGACACTGAACCAGCTGTTACCCCTCTTCCCCCGTCTCCTGTGAGCTGCGCAGGTACAGGGACCTTGTCAGTGTGCAGCTGGTTTACCACAGCATCCCAGCCCATTCAGCCAGGTCCACACCACGGCTGGCTTACTACGCCTTGGACATGTTAGTACATCCTCTCTCTGAGCCTTAGTTTCCTCATCTGTAAAATGGAGCTGATAATCTTGCCGACCACTCAAGGCCAATGTGACAGAAATGGGAAAGAGAAACGGCATTAGCATCACTAAAGTAATATGTGAACTGAGGCCGGCTCTGGGGAGATCTGGGAAAGGGTGTTCTAGGCACCCTTGGGGGAAAAAAAAAGGAGACTGCCGGCAGCCTTGAGAGCCGGGTCAATGTGGCCTGCGGGCAGCCAAGTCCCTAAAAAAAAAAAAAAAGAAAGTAAAAGAAAAGAGTTTGTTCCACCAGGCATGGTGGCTCATGCCTGTAATCCCAGCTCTTTGAAAGGCCAGGTGGGCGGGTGATCTGAGGTCAGGAGTTTGAGACCAGCCTGACCAACATGGAGAAACCCCTCTCTACGAAAAATACAAAATTACCTGGGCGTGGTGGCGCATGCCTGTAATCCCAGCTAAGGCAGGAGAATCGCTTGAACCTGGGAGGTGGAGGTGGCCATGAGCCAAGACAGCACCATTGCCCTCCAGCCTGGGCAACAAGAGCGAAACTCCGTCTCAAAAAAAAAAAAGTTTGCTCTCATTTTCCCCTCCTTGTCAATACCTCTCACCTGCTGTGGGTCAGAGATGCACAAAGCTCTGCAGGTAGGCAAGGTAGATGCAGGTCTGGGAGCCAGGAGACCCTGGGGCTTTCCTGGAGGTAGGTTCAGCTTCTGCCTGGAAGATGGAGAGAGCAGGGCTCTATTAAGTGCAGTCTGAGGGTAGGGCACCATGGCTGAGACAGTCTGAAAGAGTAGTGTGAGAGCAAGCGTGTGTGTGAGAGCCCCTGAGCTTGCCCGCCCTGCAAGTGCCCGGAGACTCACCGGGGAAGGAGTGCTTTGCGCCATAGCAACATCCCAGTGGCCTATCTCAGGCCTTGAGCTCCAGAGGCATCGACCTCCCAGGTGTGGAGCTGGGCTCTGGTAGG